GTGAGCACCGCGCAGGCCGGGGCCGGGGCCGGGGCCCTGGCGCGCTCCTTGGTCTTCTCCAGGCTGGAGGCCGTGGTGCCGCTCGAGCTGCTGTTGAGCGTGTCGGTCCGGGAGCTGTCCGTCATCTCCTCCTCCAGCTGCAGGTCAGAGGTCAGCGTGTCAATCTGGTCCACGACCTAGGGCAGAGAGCAGACAGGGGTGAGGCGGGACCGACGGGGCGGGGCCCTGAGGACGTCTCTCCGCGGGCCCGGGGTGCGATCGGGCGGCTCGGGTGCAAACTCGGCCTCGGCTGCAGATGGGACGCGCAGCCGGGCCGAGGCCGCGCTGGGCTGGTGCGAAAGCCGCGCCCAGACGACGCCCTGGCCGGTGCCGCCAGCCCAGGGCCCGCGTCCCTGCGCTCCCCTGACCGCACACGGCCGGGCCTGACCAGCTGTGCAGCCCACCGGCCTGCCCTCCTGGTTCTTCCCCGCATGGAAAACCAGCCTCCAGAAGCGGGGAAAGACAGACAGGAAGAATAATACTGGTCAGGGTTTCAATCCGCCGCGGCCTCCTGTTCTCACCGCCTCTGGGACGATCTCTGCGTGTCGGCCAGGGGTAAGATCCGAATTCCCTGCAGAAGTAGTTTGTTTCCTACTTGGTGTCGGAGACTCATTCCATGAGGAATTGCTCGATTATTCTGGAAGAAACATTCCAGAACCTACCCATACATGACCACAGTGTTCGTACGTTGCCTATGTCTAGTGGGCTGTGTGGCCACGTCAGTGGGAGGCTCGATGACTCAGTGGACGGTAATGGAACAGTCTGGATCCTGGGAACATGACCGCATGCCGTGGAGAGGACTGTTCTCGGCGATCGTATTGTGTACTCATCATATCGGAAGCAAATGAGAGAAGACTCAGAGCCCGAGAGTGTAGAGATGGTTTCCAGGTGAGGGGTGTGTAGTTCTCTACAGTGCTGAGTTCTAAGTACGCATCAAATGTCAAGAAGGTAAGACACAAAAACTAAACACTGCAGTGAGTGAACAGGGAATCTGGTAGATAGCACTGACCTCCACTAGATCATCAGACACACGATCCAACTGCCAGGTTCTGCGAGAGGAAGCAGAGTCACGTGACAGGAAGAGACCAGTACCCAGTGGGAAGGAGGGTAGAGTCCTCCTGAAAGGTTAGCTGAGCCCCTGGTGGAAGAGCCCCTGCTCCAACATCCTCCCAGAAAGAGCATGATAAAGCTTTCCCCAGAAAGAACGGGAGTCACCCCAGCTGAGCCACAGCCCCACTTCCAGACTTCTGCTTCAGAAACTTCCACAAAGCATATTTCTGATTACAGTCAGCTTTTGTTTTCTTCCCATCATCACTATCCTATGACACCATGATTATTAGTTCATTAATGTTTTGTCTCCTTGGTTAGACTATAATCTCCCAGACCTCAGTGAATCTGTCTTATAGCTGGAATAGGAAATGCATACTAAATTATAAATATAAATGACTGAAAGGGAAAGTGTGGGAATAAAGTACGTTTCACATGCATGTGATACTCACTGATTTCAGTTCTCTGCATTCCTATGAAATTCTGAAATAATGAAATGGCCCTTAAGCCATTTATTACTAATTTCTCTGTTTTTCAAACATACAAACACACATCCATTTAAGATGTGTAAAATATTCCCACAGATAGCTTTCTGTGAGGGGAAATACATAAATGATACCCTTTCATCTACTTGTATTTTTTAAAGAAATATTTAAATTGGCCAGTGCCAGGGGCTCATGCGTAAACCAACGTATTCAGGAGGCAGAGATCTGAAGATTGCAACTTGAAGCTAGCCTGGACAGGAAGTTGGGAAGACTCCAGAAGAGGTGCTGTGGATCAAGACATAAAGCACTGACCTTGAGCGAAAAAGCTAAGGAACAGAACCCAGGCTCTTTTTCAAAGCTCATGTACTAGTACAAAAACTCAATTTATATTAACTTGACACTTTGGCTTTTTTTTTTTACATCTTTCTACATCTTAGATATAGAGATAAATGGTATGTAATTTCTGCTAATGATACTTAAATGATACTATTCTGTGCTTGACTTCTTTAGAAACTACTTAAAATATTAAATTATTGGTAAAACAATCACAATATATCTTCTCCATATTTAAAACGTGTGATTGCACTGTGACAATAACGGCATTTATGAAAATATCAGAGGGTCATCACTAGAAATGTTTCTATCCATGAGAGCATGGGTGGGCTTGAAGGTAGGAGTCTTCAATGTAGTTGTAATTAAGACTAATTGTTTGATAGTAAAATTGGATCTTTTTTCCTTAGCATTATTTCCTTACTTAATTTAGAATAGGAAGAGAGAAAGTGTCTTTCATATCTGAACTTTAAAAGATTTTTTTAAAAAAATAGAAGAGAATTTCATGCACAGTAAAATGGAAAGTACAAGAAGTAAAAGAGTTTCAAAGTAGAGTTCTATCTAACATGGAGGGGTATGATGGATATGGTTCTCAAAAAGTATGAACACTGGAGACAAAAGGGGAAGCTAGGAGGAGTAGCTGTAAAGACAGAAATACAAAGCGATGCAAGTGAAGAGCTGCAAACACACCAGGGGTTCATCGATCTCCACGGGATAAATTTGAACTTATCCCAAAGGACACAGGCAGCCATAAAAGACTTAAGGACAGCCAGTGAAGAAGTTCAGATTTTGCCGAGTCACGAAGAAGTAAAAAGACATTGCCATAAAGCAAGTCATTAAAAAAACATTATGGAAATTATGGAAAATGATGCTAATGGGAGTCTCTATTACATTATCTTGGCATCTGTAAAAAAAATTTGAAAATCTCTAATGCCCATCTTTAGAATATCTTCCTGAACTTGGAACTACTTACTCTCACTCAATTACAAAGGGAGTGTACTTAGCGTTAATGCATCTGCAGACATTATCCTTGGATTCACCCAGGTATGCAAGCATTATGATATTCTTCCTGAACTCATGTTCCAGCATTCATAATGGAGCAAGTGGTATCATATTTTAAAATAGCCTTTCATGTCTAATTTAGGGAACCAGAATAAACAAGATGAAAGGAGAAGAGAGAATTTCAAATTTGGAATTGCTGTAGAATAGGCCTTCCAGGATGCTGTCTTCACTGTCATAGCTTTAGCGATATTTTATAAAGACAAATTATGCATATGTTGAAAATCAAGGAATGTTTTCATCACATTTTGTCTTTTAAATCGGATGAATTTTCAAAAGTAATCTTTCATGCCCCTGACTCTGTTGCTAAGTCCACAAAAGGCTTTGTCACTATTTTTTTCTTTGTGAGAACAGAGTATTTACAACAAAAATCTCCTGTTTTTCAGTTTTACCAAAAGGGCACCCAAAGATATTGTAAATATTGTTGTATGATACTAGAAGCAGCAAACTGTGCAATATTTTCTAACACTTAAAATGTTAGGGCAATGAACATAGGAAAAAATGTAAAACATTTAATTTGTGAAACTACACTACCTCTTTCCCCACATTAACATTTCAATAAAAATATTTCATGCTTCATATAATCCCAGATAAAATGTTGTAATTTTATGCTTAAAACTTCATTGGCACATGTCATACTCATTTATAAAAATTATTGAAGCCCTCTAGTGGCCAATATTGTGTATATTTTTATGCCAATTCTACATGAAATTACTTTCAGAAATTTTCTTAGCATATTGATTGTGTGGTTAATTAAAATCAAGCTATATGCTTGTTTTCTCAAAACAGAATCGCTTTCACTCAGTCTAAGTGAAAAGAAAAGGAAAAATTGTGTCATTTAAGATTCTATTAAGAAAGGATTTTTTGCTTGTTTTTTTTTTTTTTTTTTTGCCAGTTAGACGGTTTAAACTCAAGGCCTTGGCTAGATCCCTGAGCTTTTTGTGCTCAGGGCTAGAGTTCTACCAGTTTAAGACACCACTCTATGAACAAGAAAGGATTGTTTTTAATTATACAATTTAACACAAAATTGTGACTCTCGACAAAGTAGTTTGGGATTTTAAAAATTAAAAGCTAGAGATTGCATATGGATTTTAGGAAACATGATTTCTTCATGGGGTAACAAGCATTCAAGTCTGTGACTAACCATTTCCAGCAAATTCTGACATCTGTCCATTCAGACAGCATTTTCTTCAGAAGGCTAATGGTAAGCATTTGCACAATAACTGCTAGTGTTTGCCATAAAATGAAAAGTCATTTTCAAATGCAGCACCAGGACTCAGCAGCTCGTGCCGGGAAGATGCAGGAAGGATCACAGAGAGGATGGGGCACGGGGTGGAGGGTGGAGAACACAAGAATGAGTCACTCAGCTGAACTCTCGCTGTCCTTTTAGAGAAACACCAAGAAGCTAGAAAGGCAGATTTTGGTAATTTAAACATTTTCAAACAATTGAAAATTTGTGGGTGGGGACGGGAGGGAAAAACTGGTAGAGAGTGAAGGAAGGGGTGTTCAAAAGGAAACGTGCTCATTATCTGACTCAGGGACCTATAACCCCTCCGTACATCACCTTTACTGTAACAAGAAAACATACATACATAAAAAAGCAGTAGATGGGAACGGCCAAACCTGCCTAATTGGTTGCAGGTCACCATGCTGACCCCTGGCTTTGTGGACTCAGTCACCACATAAAGTCACCACAGTGGTGTTCTCTCTTTGCGGATCTGAAAAGAACATTGAAGCGCATGTGTCCACCTCTCCCGCTTTCCTAAGCAATCAAGTAACGTTGGGGCTGCTGCTTGCCAGGGTGTCGCTTCCTAGTCCTCTGCCCCCTCCAGCTTGGGCAGGTGGGACTGGCGCCTTCTGGCCTCCCGGCTGTCAGGACAAATGAAGCCTTGCTCAAAAAATATATCACCAAATACAATTTAAATGAGTTATAAATAGTGCAGATAGTTATGAGAATTTTAATGACTCCACTGTCATACAGTCATCAATTAAGTCTATAAATTCAGTATTTATCATTTGTAAATCAAAGCTGCCTTTTCATTCATCTTAACTTACGTCGTGATGGGTATCAATATATATTACTGAAGGACTTTCTGTTCAAAAGTGCTTGAAACAGTGGCTTAGCAAATAACAGCAGCATGCTCTGAGATAACTGAGCAATGTGTCAGTTAATATAGCAGTTTAAAATATTGTTGGAAACCATCTATTTTCAGAAT